ACACACACACACACACACATAAACAACAAGCTGAAAACAATCTTTAAATATGAACGCAGCAGTGAGCAGGAAGTAAAGAACAACTTATTATAGTGTCATAGATTTACTGCTTGTATTAATAGTGTGTGTATGTTTTGTATTAGTGTTAATGAGCTCATGCTTTGAATTGTTGAATCATTAGTTACCACGTGTCTTCCTCTGTCCTTCATGTTGTTTCACTGATTTATTATTTATGCTCAGTTTGTGCTTCAGTGTTTTTCACGTGTTCATGTGTTATAGCATGGAGCAGCAGATGACCACTGTCCTGTGTGTACATGTTCACTGGTGCTCTCACACGAATGACCGTAAAGATAAGTTCCAGTGTGTGTACCTGAATAACCTGACTCTATTGTTCACCAGCCCTCAGGTGTGTCGCCGCCCGCCGGCTCCTGGGCCGCACCGTGCACCGAACCCAGCGAACACCCTGGAAATAGAATTAACCGGACAAGTTAAAGTTATAAAAACAGGTGCACTTGGTTTCCAGGCCTGGAGTCTCACTGACCGGCAGCAGATTCAGCGGGGCACAGCTCCCGGTGTGACCCGGCCTCCGGCGCTGAGAGCCGGGCGGGCGGTGCCACTTGTTGCCGGCTGGTTGTGATGGTGGCGGGGCGGGTGGAGGGATTAAACCCGGACAGAGCAGCGGAACACACGCCGACAGAGACGGTGTGGAAACGGGTAGAGAAGTGAAAACCTGTCGCTGAGTCTCTCACCGAAGCTCCGTGAAAAGTATCACACCGAGCGGACTTTCTGCGGCCCGTAGTCCGGGATCCTGCTCCGGTGCCCGGGCCGGGCAGAGCAGCAGGAGGAGGAGGGGGGAGGCCGGGGGAGGGGGGGAGGCCGGGGGAGGAGGAGGGAGGCCGGGGGATTTACATGAGCTGCGTTTTATTTAAAGAGGCAGGAGGACTCTACTACTATAGACTGTATATAAAGATAAACTAGTTCATACTATAGACTGTATATAAAGATAAACTAGTTCATACTATAGACTGTATATAAAGATAAACCATTTCAAACTATAGACTGTATATAAAGATAAACCAGTTCATACTATAGACTGTATATAAAGATAAACCA